GCCTGTGACCCACCACTTTGAGTTGAAGACCAATGTTTTACAGAGTATTAAAAGTTATTGGCATAACTTTAGAAATGCACTAAAACTTTCCATGTTCATAATCAGACCCTGTCAGCAGTGAAGTGTTTCAAAAATCTTTAAAATTTCCCATAAAAAAGTGCTTATTCTCCAATGATTCATGCAACTCTCAGCACATACTGCAGCGCTGTAAGGAAGAGGCCGTCTGAAGAGGCAGGTGCCCTATTTAAATGAACCAGTGTCCCCCACTCAGTGCCAGTGCTCGAGTTATTGCCGTTGTTGTGCTACAGTAACTATGCCAACTCAAATGGGCATTTGCATTCAAGCCACAGGTGCTCTTTTGATTGCACAGCTTGTTATTCAGAAAGCTTAGCTGGAGAGAAGGAAGTGCAGAGGCCAGACAGCCTCAGATGGAAGGGCAGCAGCTATTCAGTGCGGAGGACCTGAGGAGACCAAACCCACATGTCTAACAACCTGCCATATCTCAGCTTTGAAGGCAGATTGTTGTCTTTTTTTATTTTCAGTCACAGTGCTGATGAAACATTGTCAAACTGTGCGATAATTAACTGCAGTAAATTTCCTGTCAGTGTAGAAGTTGATTAGATCTCTTGAAGATAATTGATAGTAGCGTCAGGAAATAAATAAATCCTATGTAGCCTAGACATATTCAGAAATAATTCTCATTTATGAAAATAGGTTATATCGAGGGAAAGAATAATGGTGATCTACCAAAAGTCAAATGGTTATTTAACGTTCAGATACTGAATATGAATGTAGTTAATATTTAAACAATGAATGGATCTATAAGGATGTGGTTATTATAATAATAAGCATAGGAAGTTATTAAACTAGGTTGGCTGCCCTCATTTGAAAGAATCCCTGCTGGAAATTTGATTCTTTGTAAGTGTAAGTAAATTATTAAAACCTTTAATAGCATTACAGTAATATTATGATTAGAAATAAAATGTACAAATTCATTTACACAACAATTTCACAGTGGAATACACAGTGGGACAGTCATTCTTGTCGAACCAATTCAATTCAAATGAACTTATGACATTATTATTATCACAGCTGAAAACAGTTATGTTGCAAAAGAACAGCATTAATTTGAATTTTTTGTAACAACATAACATTTTTTGTCTTTACTATCACTTTGATAAATGTAATGCATCCTTGCTGAATGAAAGTATTAATTCCTTTTAAAAAGCATACTGACAACAAACTGTTGAACAGTAGTGCATATTAGGAGTGGACATTGTGATTATATTTAATGTTTACATAAAAATAAACATATTCCAACAGCAGATCATCATTCATTACCCTCGCTAATTAACTATACACTGTTAAAAAAAAAAATCCATAAAAATAGGGCACAATGTACTGTATTAATATGAAGGAATTTCATTACAGGTGTTTTTCCTGTATTTTGAATTTTGAAATGAATTGCGTTGTGTTTTAGCATTAATGGAAATGTCCGTAAAATTACTGGATAATGTCCTGGCAGAAAATGACCAGTACATTTTCCTTTTTTTTTCTTTCTCCAGTGTACTTGGAATGAACAGTCCTGCTTGAGAACTCTAGATGCTTCCATTGTATTACATTCTTCCCTGTTGTAAATTCCATAAAGGGTTAGGGGCAAAATCATCCATGACAAAAAGTGATGGGGACGTGTCCCCTCCGCAAATGACAGCTAAATGTGGACTACTGTAAATGTACTACTCCTCGGTCTAAATGCTTCATTAATTCCTGTCGTTCAAAGGACACACAAAAGGGAAAGTGAAAAAAGGTAGCATCTCCCACAGCGTGAGGAGACAGGGGCCTCACCCCAGGAAAACACGCCCGGACACTTCCATTAGCTTGATGATGTGGTAGGGTAATTTTTTTTTGTCCTCGTCAAGGTTAGGGACCTGTAAAAATTAATTTCATTCACTCAAAGAGAACAGGGAAAAATTACAGGTGAGTTTTATTGAGGAAGGAAAAATATACAGTAGAAAGCACAATTCCTTTCTCTGTGAAGAGGCAGACATGTTTCTGAGAGCTTGTTTATTCATTTAAGAAATGATACATTTCACTAGAGTAATTACCACAACATGGGGTAATTAGGGAGGTGGATTGGTGTCTTGGCAGCAGTCAACCGAAACAACAGACTGCCATGCGTGTTACGGGCCTGCCAAAAGGAGGACGTCATGTTGGTGCGGTTTCTGTTACAAGAGGGGAAATGAAAGCTGTTCCTCTGGCACGTGTTTATGTTGCAGATCTAATGAGCTCATTGTGGGAAGTTGCTGAAAATAAATGAATAGCACACATTAGACATAATGTAGACCTGATGTGTTCACACCTGTTTTACGATCTAGATTCATGTTCCAGATTGTGGATTTTGAGCTTTTTGAAAGTCGTCTTGTTCTTTCTTCTAGAGAGGATTATTCGACATGGCCCAGTGTTCACCCAAGAGCCCAGTGACAGTGTTTTCCCTTTAAGCACAGAGGACAACAAGATATTTATTAACTGCAAAGCCAAGGGAAGTCCAGCACCACATTACAAGTATGACTATTTTCCTCAAATGAAAATATAGTTTTTTTTTTGTTTTGTTAAACAAAAAAAAATGTTGTTTAACAAAACAAATTTATGCCTGGAATTAAACAAAAGTTTAAGAATTAAAAAAAAAGTTTGAATGAAACATTAAATTTGAACATCATATTTTGAAGATTCTGCATTTGTGACAAATTGACATTGACGAAACATTTTGTCACTAGTGTCAGCCTTTTGAACAGTGTTATTTTAATATTATTAATGTACTACTATAGTATTTATTAAAAATGTGAGGGTTTTTTATTTTTATTTTAATTTTAGCTTTAGTTATTTTGTTGTGTGTTTGTTTATATATATTAGTCATTTTAATACTTTGTATTTCAGTGATTTGCCAAGGCTACCAACTTGGCCAACTAATTTATTTTTATTTTATTTATTTTTTTAGGTTTTTATCTACAATTTATATTTTATTTAAGTTCTATTTAAAATTAGCACATTTTTTCTTTTCGTTTTTTTTGTGTGATAACATTGCTGCTTTTGGATTCATTGTATACTGTATTTTATTCTTGATTTAAATAATGTCTTCGAATTACACAGAAAATATTTGTTTTTAATTCTTAAATTTCTTATCATCATTACCCCATGCTCACTCCACCTATTTCATATTTAGGTGGAAATTCAACAGGAAAGATCTTGATATTGACATGGACTACAGCCTTGTTGAGGGAAACCTTTTGATCAATAACCCTCAGGCAACTAAACACGGTGGTGTTTACCAGTGTATCGCCACTAATGCATTTGGAACCATCCTGAGCCGAGAGGCTAAAGTGGAGTTTGCATGTAAGTGCAAATTATACTGTATGTTTTGTATTTGTGAATTAATTTGAAAATAGCACCTGACAGTCTCTTCTGCACTTGATTACTATTACTTTGACTATACTGTCTTTATATATGCATCCTTTGGAAGCTTAAATGCATAATATGTAAAATACTATCTTTCATATGGTCCATTAGTGGGTAAGATATACTTTCATCCCTAGATGTAGCAGGCTTTTAAACTGAAAACTATATTTTCCTATCTGGAAGATCCCATCAGGAGATGTCCAATGGTGCCATCTAAAATGCAGCCTGTCGTGAAAAATTAAAAAAAGGTCTTAAATCAAAAGATAATCATAATAACACAATAACACTGCCTCGTTCATATTGTGTGTACATACGAAAAAAAAAAAAAAAACATTGTTCATTCGAAATTTCACATGTAGATGTGTCTTTTCAGGTCTTGAGTGATGCAGGAAATAATTGTAGGACTAATTGGTGGCGCTTCACTGGCAAAATTGGCATTTACAGAGCGGGAAGAAGCATTTTCCCAATGATTTACCTCCTCACATAGCCATCAGTTCTGAAGTCTTGAAGAATACATTTTTATTTCTTGATTTATAATGAGGAAAGCTTTTCATTGTTTTTATTTTGTTTTATGATTTTTGTCTTTTTCCTGTTTATGCATTTAGCAAACACTTATCCAAAGCATCTCATATTGCATACAAGATATACAGGGAATTGAAGCCTTTACCAAGCATGTTGTACTTTGCTGTTAGCCATATTTTATGACCACATATTTTATTGTTCAAGGGCACATTTTACCTTTGTTGGATCTCTAGAATATAGATCTGACAATATGTAATTATGTAATTAACACAGTTTCCCTGACAACCACATATATATATATGTGTGTGGTTTTTTTTTATGTGATTGTGAAAGTTTTGTCGGCCTTTTGTCCATGTGATAAAGTCTTGTAATTGTGAGTGAACCTGCTGTAACGCAAGACAAATTTCAGACCTTGTCTGACAATAAAGTTGTATCGTATCATATCGTATCGTATATCTTAAGTGTTTGTTTTTTTTTACCCCACTTGCAAATTCTCACTAAATTTTAATATTTTGTGCAGTGTGTCTTTTATTTACACAGAACACAGCTCATTTCACACAGGCATACATTCATGAGGCTGGAGAGCTGATATTTGAATAAACCACAGCTTTAGCCCAGTCTGGGATGTCATTTTTGCCTGTCCCTTCCTGGGCTGTAGAGTGGCATTTCTAAAGGTCCCTGCTCTGTGAGTCGTCTGTTGCACATCAGAGCGATGACTGTGCCTTTAATGAAAAGTAATGGCGATCCTATTATTTTGTTTTCGCAGATCCTTGTAATTGTGAGTGAACCTGCTGTAACGCAAGACAAATTTCAGACCTTGTCTGACAATAAAGTTGTATCGTATCATATCGTATCGTATATCTTAAGTGTTTGTTTTTTTTTACCCCACTTGCAAATTCTCACTAAATTTTAATATTTTGTGCAGTGTGTCTTTTATTTACACAGAACACAGCTCATTTCACACAGGCATACATTCATGAGGCTGGAGAGCTGATATTTGAATAAACCACAGCTTTAGCCCAGTCTGGGATGTCATTTTTGCCTGTCCCTTCCTGGGCTGTAGAGTGGCATTTCTAAAGGTCCCTGCTCTGTGAGTCGTCTGTTGCACATCAGAGCGATGACTGTGCCTTTAATGAAAAGTAATGGCGATCCTATTATTTTGTTTTCGCAGATCTGCAGAATTTCAGCAGCAAGGCCAGAAGTCCAGTATTAGTGAGAGAAGGACAGGCTGTTGTGCTCCTGTGCGGTCCGCCGCCCCACTTTGGAGGTACATTTTATTGTATTCTGTATGAATTTTAATGTTATTTATTACGTGCATTAGGATTTTTTAATCATAAAAAGCAAGAGTGACAATTGTTCGCAAAATCTGTTGACCTCTTTCCGCAGCACATTTTTAAAAATCAATTTAAGCTTTGTGTATAGCCTGTGGAATAATGCTAAGCAACTCCAAGGTCAGGAATTCTCTTCAAGTGGCAAACCTATCTCTCCACTCTGCTCACTTAGTATGTATAGTACATGCTGGTTCAGAATGTATCTTAATCATCTCAAATTGTGAGCAAATCAAGCTTTCAAATGACATTCTTGCATTCATGCACCAACCTCTTGGCATTTAGCTTCCCCTCCTCCTTCTTAATGGCACTTGTGCCCTTGTGGTCATTTGGAAAGGTTATTTTCTTAAGCCATGGCCTTCTGTTGAAAGGTAATAATGGCATGTGGTGGTTGGTTTAAAGCGACGTGCCTCTTTATCCCCCGGTCCAGCTGTGCACCTATTCTGTGTCTGTGTACAGCTGATTAGCAGCCTCTCAAAGAGCCACGCACAGATGCGCCAGAGGTGCAATTTCATGCCACCGCACCGCCGTTTTCTCATTCTGCCACATTTCCAGTCAAATCAATGGTCTTAAGTGACCCACACCTTCCCCGCTCCCCGCAGCCACCCTCCACCATATTTTCTATGTTCCATCCCTCCTTCTCCCATCACACCACCCTTGACTCTTTGCCACACTCTGTAATCCGAGGCTCTTTCATATGGATAATGCTTCATGGGAATGAATACAATGGCTCGATACCGCAGCTCAGCCCTTGAAGGGGTTTTTTTTTTTCACGGGGTGAAACCATGGAGGTCTATATAATACCTGGGAAGAGATGTGTGCAGTTTGAAATCTGAGATAATTATATATATTTATTCTCATAATTATATATATTTTATGGATAAATATTTAGCAAATATATATACAGTATATATATATATATATATATATATATGTATGTATGTATGTATGTATGTATGTATATATTGTACATTAGTAAATATATAGTGTATAAATATTTAGTGTGTGTATACACACGCACACACACACACACACACACACACACACACACAGGTTTGTTTTTGTGAATTGTGGGGACATTCCATAGGCGTAATGGTTTTTATACTGTACAAACTGTATGTGCTATTGGCCTACACCTAACCCTACCCCTTACAGGAAAATTTGTGCATTTTTACTTTCTCAAAAAAACTCACTCTGTATGATTTATAAGCGTTTTGAAAAATGGGGACATGGGGTAATGTCCTCATAAGTCACCTTCTCCTATGTCATACCCATGTCATTATACAAATTTGTGTCCTCATATGTCACAAAAACGCGCACACACACACACACACACACACAGGTTTGTTTTTGTGAATTGTGGGGACATTCCATAAGCGTAATGGTTTTTATACTGTACAAACTGTATGTGCTATTGCCCTACACCGTATGATTTATAAGCGTTTTGAAAAATGGGGACATGGGGTAATTTCTATAATATATATATATTACCGTTCAAATGTTTAGAGTCAAAAATATTATTTTATGCTCACAGAGGCTGCATTAATTTGATCTAAAAAGAGCAAAACTGTAATATTGTGAAATATTATTACAATTTAAAATTATTTAAAATAACTAATAGTTTTCTATTGTAATACATTCTAAAATGTACTTACTTTTTTAGAATTCTTTGATGAACAGAAAATTCAAAAAAACAGCAGTTATTTAAAATAGGCATATTTTGTAACTAATAATTAATAATAATTAATTAATTAAAGTATTGTTTCTTATTTCTTTCTTTGTCAAAAAAAAGAAAAGAAAAAAATTACTGACCCCTAAAATTTTATGTGTGTGTATATACTGTATATTACATTTCGTGTGATTTTTTTTTTTTTTTTTTTTTTTTCGTCATATTGCACAATAAGAGGTAATTTTGGTTGATTCTTACTTTAGTATTATTTTGATGTTAAACTACTGTTGGTTGTTTTCTAGACAAGTTGGAGCACTGAACTGAACCTTGTGAATTTTAGAGACAGCTCTCCATTACTGCACAGTAACTGCTACCTAAAGTAAAAATCACCTCTTTTTACTCATAAATAGCCGTGTTCATTGGTCTACTCTGTCACATGGTTTCAGATTATAGTGGCTGTGAATTTGTTTCCTATGAGACCAAAAGCCTTGAGCACAGTGCCCAGTAATGACGAGAGGTCCCTCACCTTGTCACCACTCCATTTATGATGGTTTTAATTCACCTTTTTCTGTCTTGAAGCCAAATGGTTCTTTTTCCTCGGTGCTGTACACTCTTAGATATGCTGTTTGAACCTTAAATAGCCCTTATCAATCCACTTTTCAGCCACTATAACCCCCTTTCTGCTCTCTAATAAACGCTGTTTAATTTGATACTTTCATACTTCATTTCATACCACAGGCATTGCTGTGCAGGCTTCCTGTATTCCTGTCTCATTAAGAAAGAGTGAGAGGTGATATGAACGAATAGAAATAGAAGAAAAATTATGAAGACTATTACAAAATGAACTGTTAAAAAGACTGTTAAAAAAAATTTAAATCGAAAACCCATTCATTTGCTTTGTGTTGATTATAAAACAAATTTGCTGTAAATATATTATTCTAATTACAATAAGCACAAACTTTGACTTTTCTTCTTTATTTATTCATGTAGATGATTTGATTTCAATATTTATTTTTATAAAGAACCAAAGTGTTGGACATTTTGTGGTGGAAAATGTAAAGTTGTTTTAATGGCTTTGTTTTGACAGTATAAGGGTTACTTTAGAGAAATATGCCATATGCCAGCATAATACAAATGCGCATATTTTGCCTTTATGAAAATAAATAGGGTGTAGTTTGTCAAAATGAATGATTTAATTATTTATTTTGTCTTAAAACTTGTTCTCAAACTGTTTCTATAGCATCAGAATGCTTTTCATACACAGCCTCATTTGTAATATTTCTGTCACACTTTATGATCTTACATTGTAATGTTGTGTTTATTTGTAATCATGAAGAGTAAATGCAGATTTTGTCGAGTTGTTTGCAGAGCCAGAATATGCCTTTTTCATGGAACAATATTAGTTTTCAGCTCCTGTTGCTTGTATTGTTTTAACCTTGTTATATATAAACTCCTTTCCCACAGCTGAGCTCTAACAAGCTGAGAACATACGCATCTAAATTTCATCCACAAATTTAATAAAAAAAAATATATATATATTTTAAAACAGTTTTCAAATTTTCTATTTCATAATGCATCAAGCTATACACTTAGTAGGGCATGCAACATGTTGACTATATATCTGAGTTGGCAAAAAAATTACTGTCATCTGACCATTTTCTCCTCAGAAATCAGATACTCCTGGATATTTAATGGCCGCCCCAGCATTGTTGTTGGGGACAACCGACGATTTGTGTCCCAGAGGACTGGAAACTTGTATATTGCAAAAGTTGAGATGTCAGACGTGGGCAACTACACATGTGTGGTAAGGAATGTGATGACCAATACGACCGTCTACAGTTCCCCAACCCCAGTGGTGCTACGTCGGGACGGTGAGTAGCCTGGAGGAACTGCTAACAGTGATGAATCAGTAGATTTGAGCATGACGGTGTTTGCTTTGCTGCCACTTAGAGACATAGCATTTGTGTATTCATAGTCTCTGAGCCGTGCTCAGCCAACTGTGTGTGTGTGTGTGTGTGAGAGAGAGAGAGAGAAGGAGAAAATATTCTGCATTAAGGAAGAAGACTTCAACCCTCACACACACACACACACACACACATATACCCTGGGAGGCTCAACATCACCAGTCATTAGTGTCTGTTTAATATTCACACAGACAAGGTATATTAAGTAAGGCGGAGAGGTTTTGAATATCTTGAGTTAATGTGAATATTGAATATTTTTATCTATGAATATTTTGGGCACTGCTGTACTACTTTACTAATTCGTATTTCTTACTTTTTCTTGCGTTTGATCTACATTCCCTGCTGAAAAGACCATTTTAGGCCAGCATAAATTTACATGATTTTCTAGTTGGTGCAGGTTGACCAGCATAGCCAAAACCATCATGATCTTTTGTTTTTTTTTCTTTTCATTATAATTTGTTTATTTATATTTTTTATTATATTTTTATATATATATATATATTTTTTTTTTAAGAATTCACAACTTACCTAATGTAAGCACTGTTTTCATGTTATGTTATGTCATGTTATGTTATGCTATATGTTTTATATTTTTGATACATGTTTAAATTAATATGTTTTTCATAATGTATTTTTTAAATATAAGTTTGGTCTGTTAAAGTTTTGTATTATTATTTTTGACATTACCATTAAATAACATGTATTGTGCACTGAAATTATTTTTTAAATATATGTGACCCTGGACCACAAAGCCAGTCATAAGGGTCAATTTTTCGAAATTGAGATTTATACATCATATGAAAGCTGATATGATTAATACTTATCCATTAATGTATGATTTGTTAGGATAGGACAATATTTGGCCGAGATACAACTATTTGAAAATCTGAGGGTGCAAAAATATTGAGAAAATTGCCTTTAAAGTTGTCCAAATTAAGTTCTTAGCCATGCATAATACTAATAAAAAATTAAGTTTTAATATATTTACAGTAGGAAATTTACAAAATATATTCATGGAACATGATCTTTACTTAATATCCTAATGATTTTTTGGCATAAAAGAAAAATCTATAATTTTGACCCATAGAATCATGTTAAGCCTCCATATATCATCTTTGCACAGTGTGATACTAATATGGTCTCTTTTCTTGACTTTTCTCAGTCCAGTGCCTTCTATTTCCTGGAAGAGAGCGGACGGAAGCCCCTTCCCAGGAAAAATGAAGATAAATCACTCAAATGGTGTCCTAGAGATCCCATATTTCCGTCCAGAGGATTCTGGACTTTATGAATGTGTGGCCGAAAACTCCAAAGGACGTAGTATTGCAAAAGGACGTCTTGTATTTCAAAGTAAGGTCCAATACTGACTTAAGTGTACATAGCCAATGGTCAAATTACTGACTGGATGATAATTAGCCCTTTTTGGAAATATTTAGACAGCTGTGTCCAAAAAACTGTGTGCAGAGTATTTTTCACAGTGTTAAAAGACCTTTCTTTATCTCTCCTATCCATGCAGTGTTTTGCCGGCCATCACGATTACCGCAGGAGAATCAATAAGAGAAATTTAAATTTTTAATGAGTCAGATAACAGATCACATAGCAACCTGTGGTAAATAATAAATAATGAAAGAATAGATTTTATTGTCAATTGTCAAGGCAAGACTAATTAGAATGGCTATAGCAGGCGTTGTTTAGTCTTCCCAGAGAGCCCACAATATATGCACTGCTACTGTGCACTTTTACAAGATGGGAAGAATCATCTCGAATGAATGTGCACAGAGTAACCGCATTTTTTGGTGGTTTATAAAACACAATGCTTTCATCATTGTTGCAATGCATTTCAAGAGAGAAAGTTCAGAGAGTCAGACGTAGGATGCAGACCTCTGCATTTGTATTATAGTAGTTCATTGCTGTTCACACAGATGTGGAACACCTGCAGTGGTCGCAGACTCTGTATGACGCAAACATGGCTATTGAGTCTGATCTTCACTGGGAGTGCAAGGCTAATGGAAAACCTCAACCTGTTTACCGATGGCTCAAGAATGGACAGCCTTTGGTCTCTCAGGTGATAATACTAACTGCCAGAATAACACCCCTCAGCCCATTTTACTAAGTACTAAGACTTAAAATATGCTGATTGTGTGTACATGTTGAAATGTTTGTATGTTGAAATATTATATGTCTAGGTTATTAGTGGTGCTCGCAATCTGTCCTGACAGTTTTGTTTATGCTCAGGACAGAATTTGTGTTGATGGTGGCGGGTTAACCATCTCCAACATAAACCTGATGGATTCTGGGATGTATCAGTGTTTGGCAGAGAATGATAACGGAGTCATATATGCAAGTGCTGAGCTCAAAGTTGTGGGTAAGCATCTTTCCATGTTATCAAAGAACCAGTATTTCCACATGAAAATATCAAGGATTTTTAAAATTGTGATTTTCAGACCTGGAAAAGTCTTGGAAATTAATAGAATTTGGTACTGTATGAACATATGAAAAGTTATTTTCTGCTCTAAATTATATTTAATCGGCTTCATATATCTGAGAATGCAAATGGAAAACCACCACAGAAAACTCAATAAAATAGGAATGATTTTTAAAATCATAATGGTAATCAAGAAAGTAGTAATGCACAGAAATTTCATCAACCGAAAATATTTGGCCGAAAATGAACCCGATCATCTCTTCTTTTTTACTACTAGTTAAAACATGAAATAAACAGAAGGTATGTTGAAATAAACAGTACAACTTATTGAAATATGTTATGTCTTATGTAATCACTCAATCAGTGTTTCAACCGTGGAAAGATGTCAATAACACAGCTTGTAAACATTACACTTACCTCAGGCAAGCCATTCAATTTCCATAACCTCGTAAGACAGCTAGAAAAAATAACACGTTTTGCTAAATATATGCAAAAATCCTTATATTTTACTTAAGCTGTGAGTGATATATTCATTGTTTAATATATGTTTGAATAAAGCTATTATGACTTTTTTTTATTACAGGCACTGTTTAAATGTTTTTATGTTTCAACAATGAACTGGAGTAGAAACATAATTATATAATTAAAAAGTTGATATAAAAACGTTTGTGCTTTATGTGCAATTTAAATGTTTATATACAACTTTTTTTATTTGAGTGCTGATTATTAAATAAATGCAGTTAATTGATTATTAAACTTTATTTTCAATTTCGGTTTTTGGCTATATGAAAACTTTAATTTTGGTTTCATGTTTTGATTTAAAAAAATAATAATAATTTCAGTGCATCACTAAAAAGTCATGAAAATAAATTGGTTAGATGTGTGGGAACACTGGTATTCAGTATTTCTAATAGTGAAATATGTCAGCTAAAATCATATCTGAGCCAAACACCCTGAATCCCTTGTCTTTCAGCCTCTCCTCCAGACTTCTCAAAAAACCCAGTGAAGAAGACCACGCTGATCCAGAGAGGTGGGGAAGCTATCATCGAATGCCGGCCGCACGCATCCCCCAGAGCTTCCTACTCTTGGAGGAGAGGCAACGAGTTCCTAAAAGACAGCAAGAGGTACGGGTCAGCAGACCGGTCGCTAATGAAAGGTGCGAAATGAGCCGCTTGCACTCCTGTCGTCCCCTGAGCCTTTGGGTTTGTTTGCACTGCAGTAGTGCAGGGTTCTGGTGAAGAGTCTTAAGGCATGTTCACACAGGGCACTTTCTTGCATCCATCTGCATGGTTTTATGCCATAATATCCTTTTTCCAACAAGCAATGTGGATTATGTTTCCATTTATATAATTTATGTACTGATAAACACAGACATTGAAACCTCTCCTTTCCCCATGTTGGGTGGAATAGAGGGTATATCTACAGTGCACAAGCATTGTAGGATTTTTTTTTTTTTTTTTTTTGGTAGTGTTTGTAGGTTATTTTTATTCAGTGTTAAAAGATATATAATACCATTCAAATGTGTTGGGGCAGTAAGAGTTGAATTTAATATTGTGATGTTTTTTTTTTTTTTACAATTTAAAATAACTGTTAAAAGCTGAATGTTCATCGATCTTCAAAAATCATTCTAACATGCTGATTTGGTACTCAGCAACATTTCTTCTTCTTGAAGTTTTAAAATCAAAGTCAAAATCATGCTGATAAATGAAAAGAAATTTAAATGCTTACATTGAATCTAGTTGTGCTCAATTATATGTTTCAGATAAAACCATCAGCTGTGAGGTGGAAAAATAATGCAAAATAATTTTATCATTTTATAATGGGAAAGCATTTTTCAACTTCCTGTTTCCTACTTTCTCTCCCTCAGCGGTCATTATTTGCAAAGCATCAGCCCACTACTGTGTGATGTTTTTCTATATTTTTATTCAAACATAATTGCCTTTTTTTTGTCCATACTGAACACAGTTGCTAAGCCACAGATGTTGCACATTCAAAACCAACAACATCCTTCCTGATGGCACTTTTCACACAAGAGTGAGTGCCTACTGGAACACTAATTAATACACCCCTGGTTCTGCCTCTCTCCTGTGGGGTTTCAATGGGACAGAATCGTTCTAGCATGGCCATGTCAGAACAGGTGGCAGGAGGGACGCGTGTATGATCTCCAGTAATGGATGGGGATGGAGTGATAACCAATGGGAGCTCGCGCTGTGCACTGTGGTCCATCTGGACCTGAGGGAGAACACACATGCCATGACTCACTGATG